AGGTAGGTGGCTGTGAGAACGGCATCACCCCAAAACCTTATAGGAACATGTGAGGCAAATAAGATACTTCTTGCAACTTCAACAATATGCCTATTTTTCCTCTCAGCAACTCCATTCTGTTCTAGGGTCCTAACACAGGAGCTTTGATGAATAACCCCCATGTCAGAGAGATAGCAGGATAGGTTCTTCTCAAAATATTCTTTTGCATTATCAGATCTGAAAATTTTAATCCTGGTATCGAGTTGGGTTAGAACAAATTCATGGAATTGTCTTACAAGTATCGGAACTTCATCACGGGATTTCATCAGGAATATCCAAGTGAACCGAGAAAAGTCATCAATAAACAAGATAAAATATTTGTAGCCACCCATGGAGGGTAAGTGGTAAGCCCCCCACACATCAGAGTGCACAATATTAAAAGGAAAAGAAGATCTTTTATTGCTTAAAGGATAATTGTTTCTACAATGCTTTGATAACTCACAAGACTCACAATGAAAACTGGACAAACTAATTCCCTAAAACAGTTCAGGGAATAGAAAACTCAAGGTAGAAAAAGACAGATAACCCAATCGATGATGACACAACATAATCCGACTAATAGACTCTAAAGAAACAGACCCGAAAGCAACATTCCCAGGATGATCAGTGCATTGTCCCGGAGTATCAAGCAGGTATATTCCGTTCGCCTCATGGCCACTCCCAATCACCTTTTGAGACTCCARATCCTGAAAAACACAGTAGGAAGGAAAGAAGGTTACACAACAGTTTAGTGACTTGGATAAACTACTTACAGACAACAAATTTGTATTTAGTCTAGGTACATGAAGGGCAGAAGGTAGGAACAAGGAATCTGTAGCCTTGATGGTTCCCTTGCCAGAAATAAGGGCAAGTGAACCATCAGCTAAAGTGATTTTATCACGTCCAGGAAGCAAGTCATATGAAACAAACAAGGTAGAAAGGTTGGTCATATGATCAGAAGCACCTGAGTCAATAATCCAAGGGATCTTAAGATTACCTGAAGTGGTTGCATGATTGGCAGAAGCCCTTATACTTGAATGAGCAAATGCAGAAGAAGTTGAATTTCCTGAAGGGTTGGAAGAAGTCACATCCTCTAGATGACTGATCATCTTCCCAAACTTTTCATATTCTGCTTTCATGGTTGCCAACTGTGCACAAGTAGACATCTCTTCAGTATAGTACTTATCACTATCTGGCCCAGCAATCACATTTGCACTTCATGTCCTTTTACTATCATGTTTTTTTTGAAACCGAATGGGAACAAGATCAGGATGTAATTTCCAACACTTGTCTTTGGTGTACTTCGGCTTCTTGCAGTACTCACATACAACTTCTTTCTTTCCTGAGCCACTAGATATCCCAGCAACACCTTTGGGTTTAACCCCCATATTCGCAAAGTGATCACTAATACCAGCCCCTTGAACCTGGACAGCCCTTCTGCTCTCTTCACTGCTCACCAAAGCATAAGCTTGTGACAATGAGACACTCTTCTTGGAAAGAATATTCTGTTTTGTGATATCATATTCTGGGTTTAGTCCGGTTAAGAACTCAAACACCCTGTTCCTTTCAACCAGTTTTCTGAAGGTCTCTGCATCATTGGTGGTGTCCCAAGTTACAGTTTCTATTAGGTCAATTTCTTGCCACAGAGACTTCAGGGTTGAGAAATATACAACTAAAGGTTTCTCCCCTTGCCTTAAATTCTTCACATCACTTCTCAATTTATAGGCTCTAGCCACATTTAGTTTTTGGGAATAGGTTTTTACAACACTGTCCCAAATTTCCTTTGTTGAATTCATCCATAGGTAGTGTTGGCTAATTTGTGGTTGCATTGAGTTCACAAGCTACCCAATGACAGTGTAATTTTCTTGCATCCACTTCTCGTAGAATGGATCATCTTCTGGGGGAGCCTTCTTGCTCCCGGAAATAAACCCCCACTTTCCTCTACTACATATATAAATCTTTACCGATTGTGACCATGCCAGATAATTAGTTCCATCTAGTTTAACTGTGGTCACA